GAGTAATTTAGACTAAATCAAATATCTTTTATGGTAAGGAATATATGGGCAGGATAATAAAAAGGTTGGAATATGGACTGCAAGTTGGTAGGGAGAATTACTAAGCAATGTTGGCGGTTAATACTCAAATGAGGGGAAAAAATAAGGTTAATGGAAAGAAATTAAGTAAAATTTTTGTTGGTAAATTATATTTATAATTCAATAGTCAGGCTGAAGTATATGAGTTGGGAGAGTATGTTAATGATTAAAAAATAGGAACTTGGAAATAGATTTACGAAGATTAAAACATGTATTGATCAAATTTATCAAAAAAATTAGTGGTGGAGGAGATTACAATAAATAAGGCTAGAAAAAAGGTTCATGGTTAGAAGTCAGTTATTCTTTTAATGACAATTCATAAGTCATATTTTAGGGAGAATATAAATGTGGGAAAAAAATAGGTAAATGGGATATTTTATATCGGTTTTCAGAAATATTTGAATTAGTGTAAAAATAAAATATTTTTAAGTGGTGGCGGTTTCTATGAACAAATCGAAGCAGGTGAAATCAAAATTGGAAATTGGATTGAATTAAGTGATTAATTTAACGATAATGCATAAGTTATATATAAAGGAGAATATAAATATGGGAAAAAAATTGGCAAATGGGATATTTTATATCGGCTTTAAGAAAAATTTGAATTAATGTAAATATAAATTGAGAATTTTAAGTGGTGGCGGTTTTTACGAAGAACTAGAAGCAAGTGAAATCAAAATTGGAAATTGGATTGAATTAAGTGATTAATTTAATGATGACTCATAAGTCATTTATAAAGGCGAATATTAAAATGGTAGAAAGTTTGGTAAATGGGATATTTTTTGTAGGAAAGATGATGAAAAGCCATTTAAATTTTAGTAATTTTTAAAACAAAATCACATTTTAGGGGTGGTGGATCATATGCTGACTAATTTGAAGACAATATTTCAATTAAAATTGGAAGATGGGTAGAATTAAATGATTTATTTAAATGGAATTTGTAAATAATTAATATTGGCGAATATAAAAACGGAAAAAAATATGGACAATGGGATTTTTGGTTTTAGTAAAATTAAGGAGAGAAAATTAAAGAAAAAATGTAAATGATTTAAATCATAATATCTAGCGGAGGAGGACTATACTGTGATCAAGTTGAAGGAAGTTCTCTTAAAGATGGAAGATGGATTGATTTGGGTGATTCATTTAAAAGAAATTCCTAAGTAATTTATGTTGGGTAATATTAATGTGGTCAAAAGGTGGGTTTATGGAAAATTCTTAAAAAAAATAAGTCAATATTTAATTTATGGTATTTAATCTATCTTTTAAAATAATTAGTGGTTGTATTAATTATGATTTACAAGGAAAAGAAATTTTTAATAGTGGATAGTAATAGTTTACATTCTATTTTTAGAAATTCTAACATCATTTATATTGGAGAATTTAAAAATGGAAAAAAAACTGGAAATTGGAATACATTATATAGGAAAAATGAAGATGGATCATTTGAAAATATGTAAATAATAGGAAAATATAAAAAACGCATTTAGGGGTGGAGGAACATATAAATAATTGATGGATGAAGATTCGATTAAAGTTGGGATTTGGATTGAATTGAGCGAATAATTTGAGGAGAACTTACAAATCTTATATAGTGGTGAATATAGAAATGGTAAAAAAGTTGGTAGATGGAATATTTTGTACAGGAACAATTCTAAACAAAATTATGATTTGATGTAATAATAATGAAAATCTAAAATATTAGTGGTGGAGGATATTATGATCAGGATTAATCAACAAAAATTGGGAAATGGGTTGAAATCTGTAATGAGTTTTGGGATTAATAAATTATTTATTAAGGAGAATACAAAAATGGGAAAAAAATAAGCATATGGGATTTATTTTGTAAAGGAAAATTGCTGTACAATTATGAAAATTTATAAAATTTATAGAGGTTTTGGGTCATATGATTATTCGCTTGAAGGAATTTCTATGAAGATTGGAAAGTGGATTGAATAATGTAATCAGCATAAAAAGGATTCAGGAATCACATTTAATGGTAATTATAGAAATGGGAACAAATTTGGTAGATGGGATATATGGTATCAGAAAAATTATGGCAATTATCATAAAGAATTAATGTATGAAATAACTCTATATAGTGGTGGTGGATTATATAATGATTAAATGGGAGAAGACTCAATTAAAATCGGGAGATGGATTGAACTAAACGATTAATTTAGGGATTATTCACAAATCATTTTTGATGGGGAATATATCAATGGAAAAAAAGTAGGTAGATGGAATATACTTTATAAGTAGGATGATAAACAACTATTTGAATTGATGTAAAATTAAAAAAATAAATTTATAGTGGTGGTGGATTATATGATGAAAGTAATTCAATTAAAATTGGAAGGTGGGTTGAATTGAATGATACATTTTTTGATTATTAGCAAATCATTTATGAAGGTGATTATTTTAATGGTAAGAAGTTTGGCAAATGGAATATTTATTATAGGTATTAAGATGAATTTGAATAAGTGTAAGAAAATTTATTATTTTAAAGCGGAGGTGGATACTACGATAATAAGGATGGAATTTAAGAAAAGGTTGGAAGATGGATTGAATTAAATGAAGCTTTTAACAATCTACGGTAAGTGATATATGAAGGAGAATATAAAAATGGAAAAAAAATTGGAAGATGGGATATTTTGCAAAGGATAGATGGAATAAAAAAAAATCAGTAGATGTAAAAATTAAACAATTCAAAAATTATAGTGGCGGTGGATTGTATGATGAAAAAAGTTCAATTAAAGTAGGAAGATGGGTTGAATTGAGTGATAAGAGAATCTCTTATGTCATTTATGAAGGAGAGTATAAAAATGGTAAAAAAGTCGGAAGATGGGATATTTTTTAAAGGTAGGATAACAAAGCTAATTTTAAATAAATGTAAGATAAAATTGAAATTTTAGTGGAGGAGGATGTTATGCCTAAAGAGGTTCAATTAAAATCGGGAGATGGATTGAATTGAGTGATAAGAGAAATTTTTAAGTTCTTTATAAAGGTGAGTATAGAAATGGAAAAAAAGTTGGTTAATGGATAGAGGTGATGTTAAATGAGAATCAATGAAACATTACAATAAATTATTTCTATATGAAAATTTCTACTGGTTTTGATATGATACTTTTATTTTTATTATCAAGGGTAGTTTTGATTTGTTAAGCATTTGAAAGCTCTGGAAAATGTTTTAATCTTCTTTAATATCCATTACAAGACTTAAAAAATCCATAAGATCTCAAGCCTAATCTTGTCTGAATAATATTTTGGTTATTCATTTTTTGAAACCTATTTAAAGAGTAAAGACTCAATTTGTCCTTGATCTGATGTATCAATGGAGAGGAACTAAAATAAAAATAAAAATAACTAATCAATACTATTTATCATTATTGTCAAAAAAAATAATTTTTTGACAGACTTTCAGCAAATATCCAGTAATGTTTCTTTTTAATGCTTTTATTTTGGTAAAATATTTACCCAAATTGTGGGTTCTTTCCTGATTTAAAATATTTAAACTTTTATTTGATATTGTTTTTATTAAAATTATTTTTCTTTAATATGAAAAAAAAAATTCATATTTCTAAATATAACCATAAAAATTTAATAACTAATTATAATTGTGATTAAGTAATTATTTTTTGTAATTCTTTATGACTTAAAAAATTTTAACACAAATAAGAAATATAATATATTTGGAAAAATACTTAGTTGTAAGTTGAATCAAAATAGATATTATAAGATAAGAGTGCTTAGATAATTCTTCGAAGCAGACTTTGCAAAAAAATTTACAATTTCAATAAAAAAATTTTTATTAAGATATCACATCTACAAATATACACTCAGATAGGTTTCCTGAATGTTTCTCATAAACTACTTGTGATTTGAATGTCAAATAATTTAAGTTGTTAAGGTTAAAATAATTGTTTATAATTATCTATTTGTACTAGTAATTCAAACTGTAGTTCATTTAAGAAAAAATTCAATTTTTGTAGCAAATTAAGCTAGTTGATACTTGTATACCTTAATATGAGTTTAGTAACCTTTCAGGAACATAATTCATTTGCTTACGTTATCCAGGTTATTGTTCTAATTCATCAACAGCTACTGATACAACTCCTCGTGTATAAAGAAAGTTTTCAGATAATACTGAAGAATCTGATAATGCTACATGCGCTTCTTTCTTACCTGGATGTATTAGTATTGGAAAAGATTGTTTTGATTTCACGATTCC